TGTACAGAAATTATGTAAATTTGAAAATCATTCTTAGAACCCTCTGTTTTGATCTTAGTGATTGGTACTTATGTTTGATCCAATATAAGAGTCAAGTTTTGCATATTGATAATGCTGTTGTGTGCTTTCAAAAAATCAAGGCCAAGTAATAATGAGTCTGCAATCTCCCCAACCACTATATCCCATCTTTGTACAATTGGCCCTATTCTTAACTTAACCTTTTCTGCTGTTTTGGCTTTGATGATATTATGTTCACCTGTCCCTTTTAAAGTTACTAGATGAAATCCCGCGCAAGCGCGGGAATTGAATTTATACCACTAACGACAGAAAATGAAAATATATAATTGTAGTTTCTACTGACAGCCTACAGACTTATAGCAGGAAGAAATACTTTGTTCAAAATCCTGCATGAAGCACATGTAGATGAATGTCTCCACCCCACCCCCCCCCCTCCGAAACCCCCGCCCCTACCCCACCCCTTTCTGAAAATACTTGACAATAACAATTTCGTTAATTGGCGTTTATTGTGAAACCTGTTATACTATGTTATGGATATTGTACTTCAGATGATATTATTTCATTTCGATCAAGGATAAAAGCAGCGAATATGCACAATTTACTGATAAACTGCATGATTTTTTTTTTCGGGGGGGGGGGTCACAAATACTTGGGTCTTGGTTTATAAATATGTATGTACCTTATTGATATGTAAAAAATGTAGTTTACTTTTTTAACATATCAATAAGGTACATACATATTTGTAAACCAAGACCTAAGCACGGGATCTGTGTAAAAATTAGTTTTTAACGCCCTATGAATAGGCCGAGTATTTGATACAAAAGACTGTATTCAGAAAAAAACTGAAATGTATTGATTAAAGCACAACATTTTACACAGCTTTAATTGTATTTGAACAATGCCTTATTCATTAATTTTCTCTTTTCATGTTAGCAAGTTTATTACGAAGTACAAATTGTACTTCGGGTTCGTTGCCACGATGATCTCAGTAAGGAATACTTGTATATACAAATTTCACCGATAAATTTATTAGAAAAACCAACTACATACATGAAATAGTCTTTCGATATATAAATATATTCAAAACGTATAGTGTTATCAATGATTTACCATTATTTCAATGACCATTCATACAAAAGCTTTTTTTTTAAATGATCGCCTCGTATTTCTTTTTAACATCGGGCTCGATGCTATATGATGTTCTAGAAGCTTCCGTCAATATTAAGATCGGTGAATGACGAAAATAATTTGCATATTTCCCTCTTTAATCGGTTATCACAACTTATTTCTTTTATATCATCTAAATCAAGTTTTGATTGAATAATTCAGTGATGACGTTTAAAAAAATAAATAAATGATTGCTTGTTGTCAGTTTCATTAAAAATTACCAGTATTTTAGATCCGCCAACCGGAATCGCCACCGTACTCAATTTTTTGCTATTTCATGGCTGTTTTTAGAAAATAAAAGAAGACTTTTAATTTAATGTACGATACTGACTATGCCAGTGAAATCTAAATATAGTTTACGGACATCATCTTGTATACAGTGTATTGTTAGAGGAGTAAATAAGAACTCTGGTGCACCCGTTTCGGAGTTTATTTGCAAAATTTATTAATTTATAAGTATAGATTTCTTTATTCAGTGTTTGTTTTGGTTTGAGGGTTTCAAAAAGTTCATAATTGATTTGTGCTGCAGTATCTATCACAGCATCAATTGTTTTGTTGTTTACAGTACAAGGGAATAAAGGGTGTTTTTCAATTTATCATCTTTGTAAAGTTCAATTTCTTGTATTTTAAATTTTACTTAAAGACGAGGCCTGTCTAATGTATCCGAATAGGTTGGATAATGGCCTACATCTCCAACCTATTGAAGTTTAAAGGTTTAGACTGGGGTGATGGTGACCTATTCCTACGATTAGGACAGTCTTTGGCATAGTGACCTTCTTGATTACACTTAAAACAAGTTTGTCTGCTTGGGCTACTTGAAGAAGATCTAACTCTTGCACTCTCTCTACTGTTTGATCTGTAATTGTTTTTCTGACTAGAGGATTTTAAAATTTTTAGAATATCTTGAATGTTTGTTTTTATTTCACTTGTGTCATCTTCTAATCTTTTGACCCTTGACTCTAGTCTTGACACTTTTGTTTGTTCTGTGTATGGTGTTGATGTTTGTTTTGTTTTGTAAATAGCCCTAACTTTGTTAACTTTCTCTTCATCTTCCTCACCCTCACTCTCTGAACTCTCAAACTTCACCCTTCTTCTTTCAGACTTTTTAAGACCTAAAATAAGCTTTTAATTTGTGATTGCACTTTTTATGTACCGTGTTGCAATGTCTAATGTGGGTGGGTTTTTGTCCATGGCTTGTTTATTTGTGCAGCCTCTCAAAAATACATCTATTGCAACAGTTTGTCGACAGTCTTCTGGTGTGTCTGGGTATCCGTCTGTTGTCATTTCCAAAACTTTATCTGCAAACTCTTCTACGGATTCCTCAGGACCTTGTTTGACATCTTGAAATTGTCTTCGTATTATATGAGGCAGGTCTTTCTTGCCAAATCTCTCATTCATTTTTGCGCTCAGTTTCTTAAAGCTTCTCTGATCTGAACTTGGTCTGGAACTGAAATATTTCAAGGCTTTGTCTCGAAGACTCTCAATAAGTTTGTCCAGTTTCTGTTTATCGGACCATTTGTATCTTGATGCAATGTGGGAAAACTTGGTGAAGAAGGGTCTCCAGTCACTCTTTCCATCAAATGTAGACATTTTTGGTGGACTTGGTCCCTTTGGCTCATTGGTGTCAAGGCTAACCGATGAAAAGTTTCTGTAAACTCCTTGTGGGGCTAACTTGTCTACTTCTCAACTGATTTTTTCATCTTCAAGTTGCTTGATTTTATTTTCTAAATGTTGTATTTTACTAACCCACCTGCTGTCTTGTTCCAAAAGTTTTTGTTCCATCACTGCAAGTTCTTTGTCCTTTGCTGTCATTTTTTTACTAATTGTGTTTTCATAGTGTGCTTTTGTGTTTTCTAACTCTGTTTCAAATTTTTGTCGTAACTTGCGCACTTGTTCTTCATGTTCAGATCTTAATGTATGTTCTTAAAAATTCCATTTGTTGTTGTCTAGCAGTGATGTCTTTTTCTGACTGAGAAATTTGTATATTTTTTTCTTTCAATGTCTTTTGTTAGCTTACCAATTTCTGATTGTAATTTTGTAATTTGACTTAGAGCATCTTCAATATTTGGAAGTGTTTTTTCTGGCTGTGTCACTCTCTCTCTCTCTCTCTCTCTCTGAAAACAATCATACACTCACTCACAAGGGGATCCCGGATTGTGCTTGGGATTGTTGTAAGTGCTTTTAAGTCGTCTACAGAAAGTTTCCCTTTTTCTTCTTTAAGTCTCACGATTAACCCTGCCCTCTTTTCTCCTATGTTTGGGATTGTTTTTCATTCCTCAAAGCTGGCATTGTTTATGTCTACAGGGTTTTCACTAGTTGCCATTTTGATTAAGTTCTACTTTGTTGAGAAAATAAAGATAGAAGAAACAGACGTGTTGTTGATTAACTATCAGAAAGTCCGAGAGTTCGAGAGTGAAATGTTTATGATTGTTATCAGAAAATCCGACAACAATCAAATCAAAATGAAAAAATGAGAAAAAAGACAGGAAATGATAGAAACCGCCATTGAATTTATTTTTTGAAAAAGAATTTTATTTGATAAGATTAACGAAAAGCAAAGAAAAAATTGGCGCGAAATATGAACACATAATGTCGCACTTCACCGATCGGGGAATCCTACCGGCGACGCCAATGTTGTGAAGTGCGTTTGTATAAGGGGGTACAGTATTTGGTTAGTACAACTTGTGAAATATGGTGAGGGGTAACATAGGTTACAACTCACTTGAGCTCTGGACTCCGGACGGGACATGTGTCAACAGACTTCTGTATACATCCAGGGTAAATTCACAACTAGTTTGATATGGTAGTTCAGTGATCAGCTGATCGTGACGTATACAAATATATACATCCCGAACCCGAACTATTTTATAAAACCTTTTATTACTACATAGATTCAACTTTGTTCATATCATGCCCCAGGGGCAGGGTGGGGCAACAACATGGATCAAAGTTTTTCATATTAATATATAGAAAATATCTTTAAAAATTTTCTTCTAAAGAACAGCAAGGCCTTGATAAGTCATATTAATACAGAAGCGTCCTTAGGTAGGGTAGATTGAAGTTTGTACAAATCATGACCCCTGTGGGTAGGGTGGGGCAACAACAGGGGATGAAAGTTACACATAAGAATACATACACTGTAGTATATATGTAATATTCTTTCTTCTCAAGAACAGCAAAGTTAAGATTAGTCATATTAATACAGAAACATCCTCAGGTAGTGTAGATTCAACATTGTTCAAATTATGAATCTGCTGTTGAAGAAGGGCCATAGTTACTATGGTGAGCGATGTGGCCCATGGGCTTTTTGTAATAAAAATATTTTTTATTATATATTAAAAATGCAATTATTTTTGCAGCGTAAGTATATCTTTGGCAGGACTTACAACCTTTACTCTGCTTATCCATCTTCTTTTATGTAGAGTTTCAAATACTGGTTTTATTGTGGGAAATTTTGTTGCATTATGCAAGTACTTTTTCATACGAACAATAGTTTGTCAAATAATAAATAAGTAAACTCTAGGATGCATGATGTACTTATTTCTAATTACGTTTACAGGGATCAGGCCAACTTGTATTGTTATGTATATGATCTTGGTAGGTCACACTGACTCATGTCTTCATTGTGGCTCATTAGCAGGTCAGATTGACTCACGATTGCATTTTGGCCCATTGATAGGTCAGACTGACTTGATGTCTGGATTGTGGCCATTAGTAGGTCAGCCTGACTCATGTCTACATTGTGGCCCATTAGTAGGTCAGGCTGACTTATGTCTACATCAGGCATTTCTTAAATTTAATGAAGTAAAACAGAGTAGAAAGAGTTTTTTTAATTACTAGCAATGAAGTAAAACTTTTTAAGTTAATTAAAATGTTTACATCAACATCATACATTCTAATTATTGTGAAGCAAATGTTTTCTGAGTTACAATGTACATGCATGTATTATACAAAGCTACAACTTTTAAAGCATACTAGTCAGTACTTCTAAATCAATTCATAATTTAACATTGTGGACTTCATACAGGTATTAACCAGAACTTTTACTTTATTGCAGTATTCAATAAAGAAGGAGGAATGAAAGAAAAGTATATGCCTGACTGGGAATTGAACCTGGGACCCCTGTATTACTAGTCAGGTGCTCTAACCACTGAGCTACTCAGGCCGATATCCATGGTCCGTATTAAAGCTCAAACCACTACACTATTATTTCCCTTTTGGAAATAAATAGATATAGCTAAGCTAAATCCTATATAGTGGTTTGATGACAATTAACACAAAACTGACAAAAACATATGCCTAATTTCAGCAGCAAACATTTAATTTACATTTCTGTTTGAATATTGCACTATATGATAAGAATCCACAAATTAAAATATCTTAATGCATGTCCAAAATTATATCAACACACTAAAGCTGAAATCCCTAAATCAAGATATGCTCCACTTATAACACAAAATTGATATGTTACAAAAGATCACCCGCATATGTATCATATAAATAATATGTATTAACAAAACAAACATACAAAAAATGAAGTATATCCCAGAAATTGTACTGAAGAAGTTCAAAACCATGTAAAATGGTTAAACCAAGGAGTACATGCAATATATGCAATGGTATCAAATAAACACAGGCAGATGCCTTAATGGCAATAATACCTAAACTGCGCCTAATATTTTCAAGAATCTATTTTTACATTTTACTCGATTAAATCTCCTAATTAGATTTCCATTGAAAGAAATTTAAAAAATAGCAATGTAACTCTTCTGTGTCGGAGATAAGGAATTCTGCAATAACATGACAGTTTTTGTTTTAGTGGTTATTCTTTTGTAACGGATGATTGATTGTTTGGTCTAACACCAGGCGGCATTCTGTCTACATTTGCCAACAAACCACATGTACATCAACTTATTCCTCTTATTCAGACTCTGAAACTCTGGGTCTTTTGTTGAGGGGGACCATTCTAAAGCGAACTCCACCGTCTAAAAAGATAAAATAGAAATAAACGAAATCATTTCAAAATTCTAAAGGATTTGATCGAGAGACCCAAAAGGCCTTAACCGTCACCCAGTATAATAATACCCTGTAAAGGATCTACAGAATGGTAAATTATTATATTAAGATAACACAAAATAACCTGTAACTCAAAAAACAAGCAAAATAGGACCATCAGCTGAGATCAATAAAACAGTTCTGGTGATCAGCAATAATTCAGAAACTTGTCTGTACATGCCAGTGCTATTTACACTCCATCACTATCACCATACATAAGACAAAAGTCTTTTAACATGAAACCAGTATTTGCAAAGTATATTCATGCCATTGGCCTTGCTTGGTCTTTGAATTATATATATATATATATATATATATATATATATATATATATATATATATATATATATATATATATATATATATATATATATATATATATATATATATATATATATATTAATTACATAAGTAAGATATTTTCATCTTTGTATTTACAAATCTACCTGATTTTTAAAAACTATGAAATTACTTTTTCTATTAATCACTTAAAAATTATTGTAATTTTTTTTTATTCAATTTAACTATCAATTACACTATTTACATTGATTATTATATTAATATTATTATTATCAGAAAAATAACTTCTCTTAACGCAGAGCAAAAATTCCTATACATGATTGTAGTGGAGAATTTCACTATCCTGGGAGATTTCTCGTTGTAATCATACACTTATTTTGTCTGCTAAATATCAGAAACAGATAAGATTTTTGAAGAATTTATGCATTTTCGCTGCACGATCAAAAGCGGTTAGGGTTAGGGGTTAAATCCAGAAAACCCTGTCCCTGGGCCATAAATTTCACAAATTTGATAGCGGGCTCAATGTTTTTTTTACAATCAAGCCAACAATTTGACTGCTTGTTAATTTTGATGGTTTTAGCCCCTCTGCTCAGACCCAAGTGGGACAAAGGTCATGAGATTCACAATTTTTTAAACTTTACTTTCACCAATAGATACATACAAAACATTGTTGAAATTGGTTCAGCAGTTTCAGAGAAAAAGCCGAAATTATTCCAATTTTAACGCACAACGACAGACAAAAACAGATATATAACATAATAAATAGATCACTTTAGTGATTCAGGTGACCTAAAAATACAGATAGAAAAAGGGTAATTTTGATATACATATAAAATACTTTATAGACAAGTGATATGTAAATTTAATTCATGTATTAGTACTATTTAGTATGTTGTAACTACACATGTATTTACCTCTAGTCTTAATTTACTTTGAAAGAAATTCATGTTCATCTTTATTTTTTTTTTCACAATTTCTTAAAAGTTCCTACTCAAATTTGACCTAGAACTTGCCAAAAAGACCTTGTTTAAAAAAAATGACAATTACATATTCTCTGGTCATAAGTAATCTTTTTGTGAAGTATGGACATCCAATGTTTCTCCATTAGAAAATTATAGACCTGTCATGAACTTCACACTTTAATCACCAGTGACCTTAAATTTGCCACAATGAACTTGCTTCAATGTTACTACACAAACTCAGGTCATAAACAATCTTTGTACCAAGTATGAGTTTCCAATGATTCTCTATTACAAAGTACTGTAAAATCACATATTTTCGTGGGGTCAAATTTTCGAGGTTTGAGAAAGAAATATTGGTTTGTGGGGATTTGATTTCGTGGTTGAAGAAGTGTTGAGTAGTAATGCATTTGAAATTTTACATTTTGTGGTGGTCAAGAATTCGAGTCTCTCCATACCTCGAAAAAATGTAAATTAAACCCCCACGAAAATGAGTATTTAACAGTAATAGCCAGGACAAGAATACAATACTTTTTCTGTCAGTGACCTTGAACATGCCACAATGACCTTGCATCAAGGTTATGACATACTCTGGGGCTATAAACAATCTCTGAACCAAGTATGAGCTCCAATGATTCTCCACTAAAAGATATAGCCCAGTTAAGATTGCACAGATAGACGTACAAGGTGATTCCTATATACCCTTCTAAACTGTACTTGTCCCCACTAGTCACTATTTTTCCGTTATTTCCCGATCATGACAAGGAGCACACAGCGGGTGTGACCGGTCGGCATGGGATGCTCACTCCTAAATGGCACCTAATCCCACCTCTGATGTTTGGAGGTCCGTGTTTGCTCTGCTCTTATTTTGTATTGTTTAATGGACTTTTGAGCTTCATTACTGTTCGTTATCTCCATACATTTCATTACAGTGATTAATTATCATAGGTGAATAGCAAAACGGAATAACTCCTCTCAGTAGATTTTAAAATCAAAGCCCCACCCTAGCACCAGAGGGCCTAGACCAAGGGGCCGAGAAATTCACAATTTTGGAAAAGGTGCCCTTGCTTATCATAACCATGCACTAAGTATGTTTGCTAAATCCTCAGGGGCAGAAAAGAAAATTTTAAAGAAATAGTGCACTTTCACTATATAATCATCAGAGCCCCTACCTCAAACACCAGTACACCTGACCCTGGCCACAAATTTCACAAATTTGGAAGAGGCATCCTTGCTCATCTTAACCATGCATTTAGTTTATCTGGTAAATATACAGGTGGAGAAGAGAAGAATTTTAAAGAATTTGTGCATTTTCACTACATGATCATTAGAGCCCCACCTTAACTCCTGAACCCCTGACCCTGGGGCCATGAATTTCACAATTTTGGTGAAGGGTTCAATGCTTATAAAATCAATAGTCACATGAATAAGTGATTGACTCAGGTGACCTAAAAATACTCTACGCTAGTGCAGTAGTTTAAACAGTAGTTTAGACATAGTTGGATATGTTACTTAAGACTGTTCATTTACAGATTGCAATGTATGGGAGTAAACTATGACATGTTGTGTCTGAAGACTACTGAGATAATAAAGTTTCTATTGTGAACATCTTCAGTTTGCTCTCATTACCAGCTGATTGAGCTTACCATTTTTTGTGGGAGGACACGACCACAGCTTCCCTTATTTACATGCTCTAGATAAGCCAGCTTCAGTGTTTCCTTCATTGTCAGAGACACACATTGGCTACATAACTTACACATCTACAATACAAACTTCTATGTTTATACTCCTTTATTGGAAATGCTTACTTCTTATTTTCATTATTATTATTATCTTATCATGTTTTAAACTTCCAGCAAAATGGATAATGGAAATCAGTCACCAAATAAACTTCTGTAAATAAATGCATGTTCATATGCGTCATACTGTTCATTGTAAACATTGAATATTGAAATAGATTTCCTTCTTATATAATTGAAATAAAATGTATGAAATGAACGATAACTCCAAAAAAGAAACACTTTTCAAGCCTCTTTTATGACATTCTATTTTCTAAAAGTATCATTTTGTTGACATTAGCTCATGGGAAAGTGAAAGAATTACTTGATAAAGAACGAAATCCCCGGGATTTTTAAATCGACAGCGTTTTTTATCTTTCAGTTTTTTAGAAATTTAAATCCTCTTTTAAAAGGCCTGAGATAGAGACACGAAGCATGCTGCACAAAAATTGCATCTAATTTACAAACCTTTGAGATCCTAAGTACTAAAGATACAGATTTAGTTATTTCCAAAGAATATGCTTTGTCTGTACAATATCAAACTTACACAAGTCCTACAGCTGTGTAGACATGATTTACAGAGACACCACTCAGGGAACACAGAGTATAAAAATAACTTACCTCTTCCCTACAGCTATGTAGACATGATTTACTGAGACACCACTCAGGGAACACAGAGTATAATAACAAACTTCCCTCTTCCCTACAGCTATGTAGACATGATTTACTGAGACAACACTCAGGGAACACAGAGTATAAAACTAACTTCCCTCTTCCCTACAGCTATGTAGACATGATTTACTGAGACACCACTCAGGGAACACAGAGTATAAAACTAACTTCCCTCTTCCCTACAGCTATGTAGACATGATTTACTGAGACAACACTCAGGGATCACATAGTATAAAAATAACTTCCCTCTTCCCTACAGCTATGTAGACATGATTTACTGAGACAACACTCAGGGAACACAGAGTATAAAACTAACTTACCTCTTCCCTACAGCTATGTAGACATGATTTACTGAGACACCACTCAGGGAACACAGAAATGTCCTTGTCAGAGACTCTCATATTGGCTTCATCCTCTGAACTGTTCGAATCAAAGACAAATACAAAGCTTTGAAATTCATTTAATTCCTACCTGCATGATATCTGAAATATAGGTGTGGTTATATAAATAGGCTGAATAAAAAATGAAAATAAGTAAATTCCAGGTATCAGTAAATAATTAGTATAATGCACCATATTTACATGTTACTTTTATGAAAATTTGTATTCAGTAAACTAATCATTTCTTCTTGCTGTTCTATAGAAGACTTTAAAGAAATAAGTATGTACGGTTTTGGCTTTATTATGCCCTAAAAAATTGATGTTTCAAAAAGTTTTGAAAATTCCTTAAATATGAGTTGAATATATGATTATGATCAGGAAAGAAAATGGTATAAAGGATGTCTGTTCTGGAAATAAGACGTCATTAATCTGTCACAATTCAAAATTTGAAACAGAAAAGACCTCAAAATGACTCATTGAATGTGTTATTTTCCTTTAGAAAATGGTGTCCACAGCCATCACCCACTTCAGTTTTCAGATATATTGTGTAAAAATCTTTATGAAAACACATATCTTAAAATCTTTGTGGGCAATACATGTGGTCTAAATTGTCTGAAAGATACCTTCTTTCCTATACATATTCCCATGTAAAAATTTGATCACCTATTGTGACCACATCAAATTTGAATCAACACTTATCAGGAAGTTTCATCTTTTTAGAAACAGTGGTTCGTGAGAAAAAGATTTTTTGTGACACCAACTCTATTTTTAACTATTTTTAATTGATTGATTGATGGATGTATGTTGTTTTACGTCCCATTCGAGAAATTTTTACTCATATAGAGACGTCACCATATAACGGTGAAGGGCTTCAAATTTTTACCTATACACGGCACTCAGGGCCATTGAGCAGTGCGGGTTCTTCATTGTACCGACAATTACTGTGACACGGGACCTCAGTTTTCAAGGACTCGTCCGAAAGACTAGTGACTTTCACTTCTAGTACCGGGCTTTTGGCAAAGGAACAGTCACTTTCTATGTTTATGTCTAAGATTTGACGCGGTGCGGCGAACGAGAATGGAACCTGGGTCTCCGAATCACAAAGCGAGCGCCCTTCCACTAGGCTACCGTACCGGTGCCTATTCTTAATTATTTCCCCTTTCAAGAAACCCTGGACCTTTATTGAAGCAAACTTGAATCCCCTTTACCCAAGGATACTGTGTGCAACGTCTCTTTGAGCTAAAAAAAAAAAGGGAACAAGATTATCTAAATCAAGCCCCAATAGTCCTGTGTGACTTTGTCAGAAATCCAACCCTTCTACTTATCCAAAATTCAGAATGGAGAGCTTCTAAGGAAGCAAACATATCAATTACTAATTTTAATCTCAGTGCTGTATAGATATCAAATGTGAATCTCATACCTTTTAAAGAAGTCATTTTTGACTGGCCTAGTGACTAAGACAACACTCAGCAAATTGAACATTACTTTTTCATACATCTCGGCATTTCGTGGGAAGTGACCTGAGGACAGGTTAGGAGACATGTTCACCTGGAAATTTAAGACACGTTAACAGAAAAAAAAACATATAATGGTCAATTGCCACAGAGAGCTAATATCTTTTCCACAGCCTTAGCATAAAATTGCATAATGGCCAAATTGGATTTTTTGCACACACACACACACATTCATAGAGTCACTCACACTTATCGGATTAAGCTGGAAATATGATGAAGAAATATGAAGGCTGCTTTAAGAGGACAGAAATCATTATACATGCATCTGTTGTTCACATATTAAAAAAAATACAAACAATTATTGAAAAAACAAATATAAAACATTCCATAATATTCCATAGATCGGTTAAAAAGAAAAACATTTCAACTGGGTTCAAACATTTTCTTCCATAAGTCCCATTTCTTTTCAAACAATGATAATTTAGAGTTATAGATTGATACAATTTTCTCAATGTTATATTTCATTTTCATATGATTTATAAGGCCAAAAAAGTTTGGTTTTTTACATTGTGATGAGCAAGAAAAAATATACTGCTTAGTGTATAATTTAATAAAGTTTATAATCATGTTATCTTTAGTGAGTGGTATTTCACCAAAAATAATATTTTTAATATTAAAACCAATTCTTTTAGAGGTTGTTCTACAGATATGCATACTCAAGTTTCTCCATAAATCCACTATGTCATTACAAGTTACAAATACATGTTGAATAGTTTCAATATTCTCCTTACAAAAGTTGCATGAATCAGATGTTTTAATGTTAACTTTTTTAAGATAATATCCAACAGGAAGAATTCTATGAACAAGTCGGTATTGAAACCACTGTACAGAAGAATCATTTGTAGTCTTGAAACATACTCGAAAAACATCTTGTGTGCATATATCATTCACTCCATGGGGAGTCAACTCTACATTCCACTTTGAAATTGCTGTAGGCTGCATACAATTTTTGTTTATGACATTATAAATAATTTTTGTACATTTATTATTTAACAAAATATTTTCATAATAAAATGGTAAATAAGGCAAGCAACTTTTCTTTATTGATGTTCTCTCAATTGCCAGATTTTTAAAGCATTTTGCAATAACACAAATGACACTATTGAACTGCATTACATTTAAAGTAGGAATATTAAATTTTTGTTGAAAAGCAGACTTTGAAAGAAAAAAAACAATCATCAGACAGGAAGTCTCCAACAGTTTTAACACCTTTAAGATACCAATTTTTTTATAAAAATATTCTTACTATCAATCTTTATGTCTGAGTTGTACCATACTGGAATATTACAAGCTTTATATTTCACATCCTTGTGCATAGGAATTTCATGAAAGCATTTTTTCCAGATTTTCATACCGTTCAAATTTAGCCGGTAAAGGTTCTGTTTAATAGGCAGGTAAACAGTCATAAGAGAAGACTCCATACAAGGTGACAAAGAGAAAGAGGGGGAAATGAGAGAAAAACTGCACATTTAAAGTAAAATAAAAAAACAAAAAACGAGGCCCTGGGCTTTAAAAATTACCTGAATATCATGAATTTGTTAAGCTATGACCAATTTGGACCCACTTGGAAATGGGTTAGACATATATCACAAACATTTTACAGTTTGATAAGAACTCTTTACACCTTTTCTCACATAATCTGTCCATAATACTACTTGGATGTCGCAAGCAATTTAAATTACATTTTTCTTAAAATAATTGGTAAATATATTGTAGTATTTTGTTAATGACAAGTCTAGTTATCAAACTAACATTGTTAAGTGTTAATACACAGGTAAGAACCCCCTGAGATCCAAACCCTAACCCTGTAGTCTAACAAGTGGCTTTTCGGTCTTTCGCTTAGGCTGAACAGGCAATGATTGGACCATTGATTTAAAAAAACAGCAATTATATGCTATGCATTAAGTTATGGCTTTTGAATATAACAATGCCTGATGAATACATGTATATAGAATTTTCACATTTTCAGATTTTTGTCTAAAGTGAAATTAAAAAAAAAATAAACATGTCGCTCAATTTGTGTAATTCATGTTTACAAAACCAAGTCCATCAAATGCAACCAGAAACAAATAAAAGTTATATGACAAATTAGTTACAGAAATACATTGTTAAGGAGGTTCGATCTTCAGCTTTTGAGCAGATTTTGGTCTGGACCTTTATTTCGAAAATTCTGCATCATTTTTAAGTTCTAACATTAAATCTGGATTCTACAATGCAAATTAAACTATATCCAATGAAAAAACCGCGATTAAGTTCCATTCATATAGGATTAAGACAGGAACTATATTTTGTGGCGGAAGTTTTAGAAGAAAATGATCAATTTTTTTTCCTTTTGAAATATATACAGTACTTTAAAGTTTAAAATTCATATTTTTCCATGCTGGTTGCAAACAGAGCTGTTTTTTGCAGTGAAATGTTTTATGCTGGTTCTGAAATATCTATCAAATTATTTCTTCTGAATTCTTTCATTACATTGTTACAAATAAAGTAAATATATTCTGAAAGTCCAGGAAAAAATTGAGCCAATTTTAACATAAAATAAACATCGAAGATGTGATTTTTGACTAAGACATAAATTACAGTGCAGAAAAGTCATTAAATGTACTGTAGCCCCAAAAGAAGCATATTGACCCTCATTTTTTGTTTTTATTTTTAATTAAGCAATGTGTGTAAAGAATAATAATATACTTGACAAAAAGTTTAAGACTTTAAATATCAAGATCCAACCTCGTTAAATATATATTCTTTTAACCAGAGGTGAGTGGTTCGTTTTCAGGATCCAGTTAAGGAATTTATTTAATAGCTACCATATTTATGCGGTATAAAGTGTGTTTGGGCAGTTTACGCGAAGCGGTTTATAAAAAAGCGTGAGCTTTTCCAACCCACTTTATACCGTATAAATTGGGTACCTAATTTCATCCCTTATAATTTAATTTTCATTCATTTAGTGTAAAAAAAATGATTGCCCTCAAAAAATGACATCAAATTGTACAAAATTTAAATGTAACGTCAAGCGGATCGATACGTTCTTGACGCAAGTCATTGTGACGTAGGCAACCCATTTAATACCATATAAAGTAAATTTTTATCCAATCAAATACCGCGTAATAACCAGAATTAAATTGTTTTTCGTTATCAACAATACTTAAAAAATAGAAGTAAAACTGTCATTGCATATCAATCTATTCATTCATCCTGACCAATCAAACACGTAAACCATTTAAACGAGCATTGATCTGTACACAGTACACATTTTACATCATTTAATCTTGTACAAAGTAATCTACGTTTTGTAATTAACGTTATCAATATAATTGATATAATTATGGTTCCTATCTTGCAAACAGGCCTGTAGAAGGGGAAGCTGCCCCTTTTTTCTGAGTATAGTATTTTGCTTTGACTAATTTTCCTTAAGATGCTGGGATGCTGGTTACCCCCCCCCCCCTCCCCCCCCCCACCCCCCTCCAATTTTTTGGGTATCTAGGTTTGAGCACTGGCAGATTCCAGGATATGGACAGTTGATTAGGTTTGTTTTTTTTTTTTTTTTTTTTGCTTGTCAGATTTTTTGGGACCCCCCCCCCCCTCCCTTTTGATACCATTGCTACGGGCCTGGCAAATATGACGTCGGGACAATATGGAACCATGCATAAAACGTTATTGGTTTTCTCGAAAGCATCTTAACATCACCAAACTTCCAATGTAGATCTGATACAGTAAGCACCACAGAAGTCTCTGACGAGATTGTAGCTCTACTGTTTTGTACTTGTAACAAAGCACTTGGACTTGAAACTTTGCAACAGCAATAAATAGAATGATGATCCTTGGTCAAGTCTCTTTCTGTTGCAAGATTACTTGCAATCAGACTAAAACTGTCGGAGGAGTAGCATTTAGAGCACATGGCGGGTGTGACCGGTCGGCAGAGGATGCTCACTCCTTTATGGCACCTGATCCCACCTCTGATGTTTTAGAGGTCCGTGTTTGCTCTGCTCCAAAGTTTGTATTGCTTAATGGACTTCTGAGCTTGAATACTGTTTGTTATCTCCATATGTTTTCTTTCAACCTACTTTTGTCCAAAGTCTTTTTTTTTAATCAGATTAAAATTATAGGAGGAGTAGCGTTTTGAAAGTATTTCATAGAAATTTATATTTTTCACTAACTATCGCAACTCTGTTCATCAAAATCAAAAACTGATACACAGAATTATGTATCTTAGTGTAGTGGAGGAGAAATAGCATTTTGGAAAATTATTCACAGACAGACAGACAGAAAGCTAGAACAGACGGATGGACGAAAGACACCTTAACATCACATTAGCTCTGCTTCTGTTCTGCAAAAAAAGGTCTTTTATGCAGATTACAATAAACAATTCTTAAAGATTTTTCCAATTCCTACTTTGATCCCTAATTAAGGTGAATCTAAATAACTTGAGGATGCTGGCATATCATGACCCTGCCATTCTTAAGAAGATTTTTTAAGATTTTTTCCTATTAACATGTATTCCTATTTAAAACTTTGATCTCTTCTGTAACCCCACCCTACCCCTGAGGGTCATGATATGACCAAACTTGAATCTACACTATGTCAGGAAGCTTCATGTAAGTTTCATCTTTTCTGGTCCTTCATTTAACTTGAATCCCCTTTACCTAAGGATACTTTGCGGCAAGTTTGATTGAAATTGATAAAAACGATTCTTGAGAAGTTGAAAATGTGTAAAATTTATGTATGACTATAGGATCGATCCCAATGTTCATTCTGTAGCACATAAAATATACGTTTTCTTGATGCAGGGAATTATTGTAACAGTGGTATGTATTTTTTTAAATGATTATATTTTTTGGACTACCCTCCTTTCAGATGAACATTCTTTAAAATCTCCAGCCATCAAAAGGATATTACTTTGTTCTGTCCATTATTTTTTCTCCTCTTTAACTGGGTGAAAAGAGTATGCAATTTCATTTACATTTTCATGTACCTCATAATGAATTATTTGCTCAGTCACATGTTTTATTCAATGATATAGACAAAAACTGTAAACATGAAAATTAACGTTAAATATACCATAAAACAGCCTTTGTGTAAACATCCCCCACGTACAAACACCTTTAAGCAGCATATTTTATTCAGTTTTAATAATAAATAATCCTAGTATTGCAGGAATTACCAAAACGCGTAATGTTCTTGCTTCTAATTTGCGTAATTAACACAACAGGTAAATTTCCAAGTTTACAGTAAATGTATAACAAAAATGCTACAGATTCTGAAAAAAGTATGTATGTATGTATTAATCCTTTAACACAGTCTATAATTTCTGTAAAGCTACTTACCTCCATAAGGTGCACATTTAAATCCTCATCTAGGATAAAGTCAAATCGAACCAATTCAAAGAAATTTCTACAAAGCAGTATAAATACTAAACTCTTACTTCACATGTTAATTAAATTTTATAGAGAATATAATGTATTTTATAGCCATTGTTAAACAAAGTCCTGATATAAGATGTACTGACCTTGAAGAAGAGTACATATTTGTAGCGGAAATGATGGCCGCCTCCTTCTGTAAGTAAACAGTCTTGATGGCAGCAGAAATATCACGCCACAACTTCCTAACATTGTGACCTACAAGGCACAGCCAAAGTTATCTCCCTTACTGCATTTATAATCCAAATCTCATTGTTCATGTGGGTTCTGGTATATTTTTTTAAATAATATAAGAGTAAGTACATGTATGCATGTTTATGAAGTTGATAGACCTAATCATGATCTTGAGGAATCAAGTATAGAACATTTGCTAAGATAAATACAATAATTATATTAAAGTATGTGCACAAAAACTCGGCCGGAATTCGTTTTAGTGATATTTCTTTCATTTATGGACAATTTACGACTAAATTCATATGGATAATAAATTCAAGGTTTTCAGTTCAATGTAAATGAGATCAATAGTCAGTGAATGTACCATGTTCTCTCTATACTTTAAGCGATGTGTCAATGCATACTATCTAATCTGGAATAATAATTCTTCATGGTTCCTGGGGACGTAATTTCATGGGTAATACTTAATATGATAGATAACTACCGTGTTCAATGTATGTGTGTATCAATATTCATGGGAATATAAATTTGTGGGTTAGCTTTACCCATGAAATCCATGAACATTAATCCCCCACGATCAATGATGATTCCACAGTATTTAGTTTTCACGTTGTCAAAGTTGTCATGTTGATGTGTGATGCATCAGGCCTCTCGTCTCTGTTTATGTTCAGTAGTCATTAATAGCACCTTTTGTGGCATGGGTTTAAAATAATTGCTTTGAGCCGATGTCTGACTCCTAGTCCATTTGGACACTAAAGCTGGTCCTCTCCACTCACATACACTCACAATTTGTTGTGCTGACCACTGAGGATGAGAAGCAGCAATTTTTATATACCCATCTTACCCATCTGATGTCATTTATGTCAAAATTTTTCTTTTGACAAAACCCTGGTAACCGCATCTCCAAGCTCCCCTCTTAGAATCTCTTCAGATTAGATCTATCGTTAATGGAAGATCTCAGTATGTTTGTTATTTCCCAAATTTTTTGTGTTGATGTGGTTCCGCTTTCATATAAATTTAGGAGATTTATCTGTTGTAAATTTCTGACATCTCCGTTTTCCAGAAATATGCCGTCTGCTGAATGCTTCATTATGCATATTGTAACAAGGGGAATCACTCTAAAATCAGTCCTACTATTTCTTATTTTGCCATAGATTATTAAGAAACTACACTGTAGTTATTTTTAAAAATAAACAACTTTAAATGAATACAGATAAATCCAGGTATTTTTACACAATACAATTTTTTCTCACCTTTCCTTTCCAAATAAGCATCAAATGATCCCTTAAAGCTGAAATTTAATTCTCTATTCAGCTTTTTCAGGGATGGAATCTATAAAAAAAAATTTCATATCAGTAATTAGTAAACTTTCCTTTAGAAATTATTCATTCTTGAGTAATTGACCATTCACTCATGTCATCTCTCTTAGAACCATTACATATGATATTTTATCCCTATTATCCAAAAAATATTCTCGTATTTATAAAGTTAAAACCTTCATGATTAAAGTGGTAAAATTGAAGACACAATTAGTTACTGTAAATCACGTTTTATTAGCGAGAACTTTATTTTCCACATAATAATACACGAAAAAATCTGTTTGAGAAAATTTCATTCAAGCGTATACATGTATTTGTATTCTTTAAAAAGATTATCTACAATATATATATTAATGACCTGAATTAGTGTCAATTTAGTCTCACTTTTGAAGTCAAAAGAACTATTTTACAAAAAAGGTATTTTATGCAGATACAATAAAGTAGTCAGGATAATTGCAGATTTTTATTTTATAAACATGACAAAGATTACCTTCCAGACTGGAGTGAAGGCGTCTCCCACCACATACTTGCTGATGTTACGGGCATCAAAAGGGTAATAATCCTGGGAACAGAACCTACAAATATTATAATGTCACTGCTATACAGCTAAAAATTAGACATAAGGCATAATTTAGTATGTATATCTACTTAACATTAGTTAATACAGAACATTTTCCAGTGAACATTTTGTAAATATATGAGAAAAACTGTGCAATGACTACAATGCAGAAAAATTTATTTTTATCCGTGATGAAATTGGTCTTAATACTTGGGACAAAAGATCTCTGATAAACATATGTTTATCACATACATGTATGTACTTATTATTGTACATTCAAAAAACAAAAAAAAAAATCATGCATATGTGTCATGTATCTACTCCCCCATTCTTTTCAGCTTTGGGTTCTATTTTTACAAAATATGAATGTCAATGCATCAAGTTAAACTGGCATGAATAAAGTCTCAGACTCTCGAATATTATGGCATGTCAAACGTTGCAATATTCGATCTTTTGCATTTGCATTGTATAATTTTCCATTTGCATTGTATAATTTTTATTTGTATTGTATAGTTTTCTATTTGTATTGTATAATTTTTCATTTGTATTGTATAATTTTTATTTGTATTCTATAATTTTCTATTTGTATTGTATAATTTTCATTTGTATTGTATAATTTTTATTTGTATTGTATATTTTCCATTTGCATTGTATAATTTCTTATTTGTATTGTAAAATTTCTTATTTGTATGCGATAATTTTTCATTTGTATTGTATCCGCGGACTGTTTATTTGTTTCGTTACGAAGGATTTCATTGGTCAAGTTTCAGCCTGTATCGGGTTGAAGATGTTCCGGATGCTTAAAGCAAACTGGGCTGATATGTATTTGCTTGCTTGATTGATTGATTATTGTTTAACGCCGAGTCGGCAATATTTCAGCCATATTTCGGCGGCATATGTATTTGCGTGCATGTTAGACGGTCATTGGATTCTAAAAAGGGAGCGCTGGTAGATGGCAAATAAATAATCTGTCCTTAGGAATGCTGACTGAGAAAATAAATAAATTGACCTTGAGTGGTGGTAACTACCCCCACCCCCAAAAAACTGAGTTTTCGGGTTTGGGCGGATTTTCTTCTTTTTGTTTTTCTCCTTGTCTCTGGTCATATTGGAAATAAATATTCTCTCCTGCGAGAGAATGAAAATGAATAATCGGATTCGACACCCCCCGAGAATCAAATGGTCGTCCCTTAGCATGCACCACAAATAGAGGAGCCGAGTTTGTGTTTGTAGAGAGTGCGCGATCGGAATTGTGGGAAGGGTACCAGACTAAGTTTGTGATGGGCACCTGAGACCTTTATACAGACTAAATTTTATGACCAATGACATCCTTCGTAACGAAATAAATAAACAATCCTCGGATACAATACAAATGAAAAATTATCGCATACAAATAAGAAATTATACAATACAAATAAGAAATTATACAATGCAAATGGAAAATATAGAATACAGATGAAAAATTATACAATACAAATGATTTTTTTTACAACACAAATGGAAAATATAGAATACAAATAAACATTATACAATCCAAATGGAAAATTATAAAATCCAAATGGAAAATTATAGAATACAAATAAAAATTATACAATACAAATTGAAAATTATACAATACAAATGAAAAATTATACAATACAAATGAAAAATTATACAATACAAATAAAAATTATACAATACAAATGGAAAGTTATACAATACAAATGGAAAAGATCGAATATTGCAACGTTTGACATGCCATAGAATATATACCTTTTCAGTGCATCTATTGATGTCAATGTGGTTTATACTCCAACTTCAAATTATACCCACCTGAACAAAACCTCAGACTCTACTGTATACACTCTCAGTGAATCTATGGATGTCAAAATGGTATACACTCCAATGTCAAATTATACTCTAGTGTCCTTCGGATGAGACCTTAAAAACCGAGGCCCCATGTTACGGCAGGCGTTGGCACGATAAAGAACCCTCACTGCTCAATGGTCCTGAGTGCCAAGTAAAGGTCAAAATTTGAAGCCCTTCACCGGTATATGGTGACGTCTCTATAAGAGTGAAAAAATTCTCGAATGGGACGTTAAACAACATACAATCAATCAATCAAATTATACTCACCTGAACACAACCTCAGATTCTAGAGTACACACTCTCAGTGAATCTATGGATGTCTATAAGGTGTACACTCTAACGTCAAATTATACTCACCTGATTGAAGCCTCAGACTCTATAGTATACACTCTTAGTGGATTTATAGATGTCAATATGGTGTACACTCCAATGTCAAACTTCCTGTAATCAGTTTTAATTTATAAAATTATAAACCATGAGGGTTTCCGGTAATTTGTGGACAAAATATTTTTTTAAAAAAAGTTAATTCAGAGAAGTTGTGTCCTTGCTTAAGTAAAAGGGAAGAGGGTGGGAGAACTGAAAAAAATATGCAGATGTTGAAAGAAAAAAATTAATCTTAACCTTTCGGCTCTTGGTCTTTACGTCAATAGGTGTTTTTCAAAGATAAAAGAACTTCATGATCTAAAGTTATCATCTGAAAACTATGTATGCAATATACATGTATAAGTTACTGCCCTTAGTCTTTGTCTTTTTTAACTCAAAATCAATAGGAGTCTTTTTTTAAGTATTTTGATTAATAGTATCAAATGTCATTGCTAATCCTCAAAGAGAAATCAAGTTATAACCAGGAACTTTATTGCAAGGTAGGAGTTTTTTACTTTGATCTTTCGACTAAAAATAAAAAGGGGTCTTCTTTAAGACATTGGCAGTTATGATATAAATTTTCATAGAAAAAGATCAAAGAAAAATAAAGTTATCTGGCCATAGAAAAAGATCAAAGAAAAATAAAGTTATCTGAAAACCATTTTTGCTCTGTATGATTTTTCACCTTGACCTTTGGACCACAAAATCAGTAGGGATCTTCTTTAAGTAACTAGTTTATGATATACAACTTCATTGAAAAGCTCAAAGACAACTAAAGTTATCATCTGGGAACCTTTGTTTGCAAGATGAATTTTTGATCCTGTCAATTGACCTGTTGACATCAAAATCAATCGGGGTCTTTTAAAAGCAATAAGGAGTATCATATAATATTTCATTGCAATATTTCAATGCTTTTTTAAGATAAAATTTAGAAACGAAACGAAAGTGTTATGAATTTCTGACCTTCATATTTGACCTTTCATCTAAAAATCAATAATGTTTTTTTAGGCCAAAGGGAGTTGTGTATTTAATTTCACTGAAAAATCAGAGAAATGAAAGTTTTACACAAACAGTATGACAAACAGACGGCGGACAGACAGACTTAAATTAATATCTCCTACTTTCAGTGGGGGGGGGGGGGGCAAAGAATGAGCTTAAATTTTTCAGCAAGGCTTTTTCTATCATATTTGAGTATTGCATAATTTTTTTTGACAAAATATAGACAAGAATAAAATTTTTATCGTACTTGAATGAGCCCAGTCCTAGGAAGCACAACTAAAAAATCAGCTTTTCATAGGAGAATATGCTTTTATTTCAAAATAAAAAGCATAAAATAAATCAGGTTGCAGTAAGAATTACTATTTTCTAAAATGTCATCATTTTGAGAAGTTCAAGGCATTTGCATAATTTTTGTCTGTGTCTCGATCTGTTGAAATGAAACATTGGTAAGCACAACAAACGAAAAATGATGACCTTCGATAACGTCATGGTGCACTTGAGAGCAGTTCACCTCTATGTAGATTTACAACTGGCATCTCCACAGACTTTTTGAGATAAGACAAACAAATATGAGAAATATCGCTTGAGCTTTGATATTAATATGACATGGACAACTTTTAAAAAGGAAGTTTTGACTTAGAGCCCCATGATAGACAAAACATACATACATAAATGGCTACCGGAGTAATGAAAGACTGTTCACGAGATAGTCTCTTTAGTTGAATTTGGTAAGATTTCAGAAGGCCCCCTGTGTATGAGAGATTAGTTCCTTTCCTGATTCAGTATTGCAGGCTGTATTGGTGCAGATCCAACATATATTTATCAGATTATCGAAACAAATAAAACATATATATTATGTTGAAAAAGACATTTTGACTTAAGCATCCGTGCACCATAATACCATTTATAAAATAAAATGCTATTTTTTGCTTATTTGACTGAGCCATATATCTTTGTGACTATGTATATTTCCTAATAATGTGCTGATAAGTAGTGAAAATTAAGGAGTGCAGCACTGATTATTGCTTACTCTAGCCAATTTGTCTAAGAATTAAACAGACAACCCTCGTACATCAGTATAAGAAAGAGGTTACAAATATGGCTTAGCTTTCAACTGAGTTTATTTTGAACTTTTCTAACAATAAAACAAATTACAAAAACATTCATGTACACATCAATTTCAATATGTTATTTTTAGAACTACCGTATGAGCAGTTAAATATACATCCTTCTGAAACAGACTTACATGAAACTCTATATTGTCAAGTGCATCTTGTTTCCTTGTGTCAGTTTCACAGTAAGCTGGGCACACAATGAAATTGATGATATAAAAAAAATAAATTAAAAAATTTCTTCTCACACACTATTTAGTTATACTCATTGGAAGAATTGGAGAACTTTTTATATGTGCGGGGTTTTTTTAGAAAACAAATTGATTACCGTATATATCTTACCTGCCATCAATAAGAAATGGTCGGTCCACAAACACCTGAACAAAGGAACCTTCTTCTGTCAAGTCTAGTTCTTTTAAAAATACAAGAAAGTTACTCTAGTTATTTGAAAAAAAGGAAGGTTACTCCAGGTCTGTAAGAAAACATTAGGGAAGTTACTCGCTTAAGGTCTGACAACATGTTGCTCGAATATCTGTTTTGTATCTCTTCGTAATATACAACAAATTAATCATAATTTTCATTATATTGTGATTTTTAAACTGTTTCTATAATGTCTAAGTAAAAACACCAAAACTTGTGATATTAGCAATGCTGGTAATTTTCAATATAGTAATATCATATAAAGTAAATACCAACATCTGGTATCTTGCACCAATGCCTGGTAATATATATATATATATATATATATATATATATATATATATATATATATATATATATATATATATATATATATATATATATAAAGCACTAAAAACCAACAACACTGTATATCCTAAGTGTCGGATCTACTAAGTAGATACAAGGTCACGGATGGAAATTTATATAAAGCACTAAAAATGACCAACGACACGAACAATAATAATTGTCAAATTTTCGGGACAACCTGTCCCTTCCTCAGGACAAAGAAAAAAGTTAAGAAGTCATAAAAACAAAGGAAATAGAGAAGCAAAAACAACTAGCACTACTACTAAACTACCAAACACTAAATATTTACAATGTTACATGTTTAATTTGGAGTTTATAAACAGTTGTGAACAAAGAAATCCGGAGCGCTATGAATTGCGTCCGGTCTATCGGGTGTAGTCTGGTGAAGTGTGATTTACATAATTGAACGAATTAATTATCGCTAGAGTACTGACCCTGTACATGTTGATCTTGATTACCAGAGTACTGACCCTGTACATGTTGATCTTGATTACTAGAGTACTGACCCTGTACATGTTGATCTTGATTACTAGAGTACTGACCCTGTACATGTTGATCTTGATTACTAGAGTACTGACCTTGTACATGTTGATCTTGATTACCAGAGTACTGACCCTGTACATTTTGATCTTGATTACTAGAGTACTGACCCTGTACATGTTTGATCTTGATTACTAGAGTACTGACCTTGTACATGTTTGATCTTGATTACTAGAGTACTGACCCTGTACATGTTGATCTTGATTACCAGAGTACTGACCCTGTACATGTTTGATCTTGATTACTAGAGTACTGACCCTGTACATGTTTGATCTTGATTACTAGAGTACTGACCCTGTACATGTTCGATCTTGATTCCCGTAGAGTTCTGACCGTGTACATGTTAGATCTTGATTCCCCTAGAGTACTGACCTTGTACATGTTCGATCTTGATTCCCTGAGTTCTGGCTCTGTATATGTTTGATCTAATACCTCGAGTATTGACCATGTAACGTTTGACCTTGATTTCTAGACCTCTACCCCTGTACATGTTTGATCTTCATTCTTAGTTTATACTGACCCTGTACATGTTTGACCTTGATTCCTAGATTACTGACCTTGTACAAGTTAAATCTTGATTCCCTTAGAGTACTGACCCTGTACATGTTAGATCTTGATTCCTAGATTAATGATTCTGTTAATGTTTCATCTTGATTTCTCTTGAGTACTGACCTTGTACAAGTTAAATCTTGATTCACCCGGAGTACTGACCCTGTACATGTTAGATCTCGATTCCCCTAGAGAACTGACCTTGTACATGTTTGATCTTGATTCTTATATGGATGATCCTGTAAGTGTTTGATTATGATTCCTAGAGAACTGTCCCTGTACATGTTTGATTTTGATTCCCTAGAGTGCTGACCCTGTATTTGTTAGATCTTGATTCCTAGATTAATGACCTTGTTCAAGTTATATCTTGATTCCTCTAGAGTAATGACCCTGTACAAGTTAGATCTTGATTCTCCTAGAATACTGACCCTGTACATGTTAGATCTTAATGCCTAGATAAATGATGCTGTAAATGTTCGATCTTGATTCCTAGAGTACTGACTCTGTACATGTTAGATCTTGATTCCCCTAGAATACTGACCCTGTACATGTTAGATCTTGATTCCTAGATTAATGATGCTGTACATGTTAGATCTTGATTCCTAGAATACTGACTCTGTACATGATAGATCTTGATTCCCCTAGAATACTGACCCTGTACATGTTAGATTTTGATTCCTAGATTTACGATGCTGTAAATGTTCGATCTTGATTCCTAGAGTACTGACTCTGTACATGTTAGATCTTGATTCCCCTAGAATACTGACCCTGTACATGTTAGATCTTGATTCCTAGATTTATGATGCTGTACATGTTCGATCTTGATTCCTAGAATACTGACTCTGTACATGATAAATCTTGATTCCCATAGAATACTGATCCTGTACATGTTAGATTTTGATTCCTAGATTTACGATGCTGTAAATGTTCGATCTTGATTCCTAGAGTACTGACTCTGTACATGTTAGATCTTGATTTCCCTAGAATACTGACCCTGTACATGTTAGATTTTGATTCCTAGATTTATGATGCTGTAAATGTTCGATCTTGATTCCTAGAATACTGACCCTGTACATGTTAGATCTTAATGCCTAGATTTACGATGCTGTAAATGTTCGATCTTGATTCCTAGAGTAATGACCCTGTACAAGTTAGATCTTGATTCCCCTAGAATACTGACCCTGTACATGTTAGATCTTGATTCCTAGATTAATGATGCTGTACATGTTAGATCTTGATTCCTAGAATACTGACTCTGTACATGTTAGATCTCGAGATCTTGAGATTCCTGGATTAATGACCTTGTACAAATTATATCTTGATTCCCCTGGAGTACTAACCCTGTACATTTTTTATCTTGATTCCTCTGTGAATGTTTCTTTTCTTGACCCACAGGGTGTCTGGGTGCTCCTCTGCCTGTAAGGTAGCTTTCATAATAATGCGTATCAATTAATTACAAACTAATGAACAACTAAAACACTGTATTTATGTTATAACCATTTCAAATTGAGTAATGGCCTAGTATTGAAAGTACCTCAATCCATTTTGTGCTTTTGTACATTGCTGATTATATTAGGGAAATGTTCATCTAAGATGAAGTTTTGAGGTTAAATATGTTTTTTAAAAAATATTTTGTGTAGATGAAGTAATGAATTCCAAATAATATTAAGTAACAAAATATGTGTACATCTTATTTTGTCATAATTCAGCAGCTTTTCAGGGGTTTGATACCTGTGCCCAGACAATGCTTCACCTAGGACCTACTTGGGGCTTCAAGGCTTTTAACCCCGTTCTAAAATTTCTGGATCCGCCACTGACATTGCCGTACATATTGCAAAACTGACCTGATTAATTGCACTCTGATTTACAAATTGTATATATGACCTGATTAATTGCACTCTGATAACATATTGTATATCTGACTTAATTTAACTACACTCTGACTTACATATTGAAGAAATTTGTCCTTTTCCTTGGGGATCTTGAAGGCCCTGGGTATAAAGGGATTTTTGGAGACTGCCAGATTGACCTTGCTGGTTATGTAACCTGACCCAGGGAAATGGTTTACCTGTACTCAGGTGAGAATAGGGGTGACATTTCACATAATGTTCATCATAAAATAATTTAAAATGTTATTTCTCAAACAATCATAATAGATTTAAATATTAATATATATATATATATATATATATATGTACACATAAACTGATCTAAACCGATATTAGTCACTCAGTTCTTAGACATATAACTTGTTAAAAGTGTAATATCCCTCTGATAAGAGAGATAACTTTCCGAGGAAGTAATTCCAAGCAATTCAATGAATTGTCTTATCAGAGTTTAATAATGAGGACCATTTTATAGTCAACTCATTTAAGCCTGATCTATCGTACAAATGTTGATTTCTAGTTTCTTATGCCAATATTTTCATAAATTACTTATAATAGTTTACTTAAATTATTTATACTTTAAACTGTGAAAATTGAGATATTTCTATCTTTTAACGTATTAGTCTTTTAATTGATATAGAAATTTCAGATGCAGAATTTTTATAATCAATTAATTGATATTTTGTTTCAATAAAAATATTTTCAAGAACGATAATGAAAAGATAACACTTTTAGATGGATTCATTTTATTTTACAAGCACAGAAAACAAAGTGATATTCTGATTTAAAAAGCAAAACTTCTTATGTTTTCTAATGTGAATTAGATAGGTATGATAGTAAATATTATTTTCATATATACTTCACATTTTTTATGTTATTGTGAGGTAAAGAAATTACTGATCTTTCTATTTACCATATCAAGTTTTCAGAAATTTTTAGACATAATATTCATTTCTGAAAAAGCAAGCAACGCTCCATTCTTCAAACAATTTTCCATTTGAATCTAATGTTATTGTTGTTGATAAAAATCAATGTTGGGAATTTAAAAAAAAAATTGGTGATATTTGAAGCAAAGGAATAATTCACCTTAACACACAGATCAGTGACTGCATGTATCCTGAATCTGGCTGAGATAACTTTACCCACTTTTATTGACCTTACTGGAGAAAAATATAAAACAAAAACTTTTAAGTTGTTGTTTTTTTTTAAGTTTTAAATCTTTAAACACAATACATACCTTCTGATGAGGCTTGAGATTTGAGATTTTTTTGGCCAGCTTTACAAACGGATATTCATGTGACCAGAGTACATCCCAATCAGACTCGCCATCACCAACAACATATCCTATCCTCTTAAATACTGCAAATACATGCTTCAAGTATCCAGACTCTAGCTGAAATATATAAAGCACAACATATCCTATCCTCTCAAATACTGCAAACACATGCTTCAAATATCCAGGCTCTAGCTTAAATATATAAAACATAACATATTCTACCTCTCAAATACTGCAAATACATGCTTAAAGAATCAACACTCCAGCTGAATTATATAAAAAAAAAACATATCCTATCCTCTCAAATACTGCAAACACATACTTCAAGTATCCAGACTCTAGCTGAAATATACAAAACATAACATATCCTATCCTCTCAAATACTGCAAATATGGATAATGGCCAAATTTTAAACTTTCAATTTTGTAACATATTATTATTATACTTCTATTCAAACTCATCAAATTCATTCACATATAATAGGAAAATAAATACACATTCTAATTTTCTGTTTATTTAAAAAGCTACAAGCATTTACTTGGTAAAGAAGTGAAATATGTGGAGATAACGAACAGTATTCAAGCTCAAAAGTCCATTCAACAGAAGGCAAAATCGTAGACAATTTGATTTTATTATTTTTGGCTATATGTGAATTGTGTTTAAATTAGGGATGTCAACGAATATTCGAGTACTCGACCATCATTCGATCATACCGACTATCGACTAAAATTTCTTTAATCGGTTATTCGTTAAAAATGTGTTACATAAAAGTAATTTTAAATTCAAGGTAATAAACGTGGATTTGACCATTTCATTTACAATTCAATGTTCTCGTAAGTAAAACTCAGGGTATGGTTTAACTGTTCAAAGGAAATTATTTGTATGTCGATTTATTCCTCCAAACCTACAGTTTGAGATACTTAAAAAGATGCCAGGATGGAAAAACAGTTAAAAGTACGTTATCAAGGTTATGTAAAACTGAACTTGTATTCTGCAGTGGAACATCAAATATGATGTATTATATGCCGAATCCATCAAACATATACACAGTACACATTCCTAGTAATATAAGTTCTCCACAAAAATGCCAAAAAAGCAGAGCCGTAAAGAAAAATGTTGTTATCACGTTCAAGAATTGTTTGGTTTTGTAGATTCAAATTATTATAAAGTTTCAACCTGCAATACCATAAGATCTGACGTAATGCAACTATTCATAAAGAATAATTAAACAGCTGTTACAAAATTGTAAGTACGTGTAAATTGGGTGACAGTTATGAGCGTAATTAAATGCTGTTTCTTTCTGATATTAATATCATGCAGTGTATTGTTTGTTTAGACAAAATCTCAAAATTAAAATTTATCGCAAGCTCTCTCTGTTTTTATAAGAGGCACGCTTTAATTGTTTACCTGTCAAAGGACACTGGCACGACACGTACATTGTAGAAATGGCTTCAATTAACGGGTACATGTACAATCGTTATGAAAAGAAAGGACAAATGCGAGCGTTTGATATCCTGCATTTAGATAAAATATGCAGTAAATTAATATTATATTAATTTTTGAAATCAAATGCATTGGATCGTGTAGATGTACAGTATTCATTGTACTCCGAAAATGTTTACGTTTTAGAAATCCGTTGTATAATGGTGATAGCGTAGGTTAAATATTGTACAACTAGTCTATAAAAGACAAATATAGTGAAAATGACATGAAAAATTAATTTAAATTTCAACGAATATTCGACTATCGTTCGACTAAAGCCTCCGACTATTCGACTAAGCTGTCCGAATAAAATTGACATCCCTAGTTTAAATCTACAAAAGACTTAAGGGCAGACAACCTCCAACAAGTCACTTGACCTACCTTTTTGCCCTCCACCCACACTATAGGCACCCTGACAGCATAATTTCCAGTCCTTCCCTCCACCTGTGGGAGATTAGCCTGTTGTAACACTCCGGTTTCCCTCATTTTATAAAGCTCATAGATATTAAGCAATGTAAGAAGGATCCCTAGTCCCAGCACTACAATCACTAGGGAGAAAAGGAGGCCAGGTTTCTTCATCTTAGGTTTGGGTTCTCCAAATGTAGATGAGATCGCTCTCCTTGAATTAATGCAGGTTAAAATTACCTGGATGGTATAGAAGTTAAAACAAATGTCAGCTTAAAAACTTGATTTGACCTTTAATTTTGTAAAAATAAAATATATATATATATAGATATATATTCTTAAGATTTATTAAATTAAAAGAAGCTTGGGAGTTAATTTTGATGTAAAAATGATAATATTAATTATATTAAAAACCACAAGTGTGCCACAAATAAATCTAGTCACACATACAATGTCTGTATAATACATTCTTTGCACATAATTAAGCACTGAAAGGAAATTTACATTATTAATTCACTAGCATGTTCATGAATTACCTTGCATTAAATCCAAGAATTTAAGTGCGTATAAATGCTAAATTCTTAATTATATTAAAATAATTTTGATATTTGAACGAACCTTTCATCAAATATTACTACATGTATTGAATAATATTGAATTTTATTTTAACGTTTTTAACATATATCCCGGTATGTGAAATAAATATTGTGAGATATTCAAAATCAGATTTTTTTTTTACTTAAAATCCGTGTTCTCTGTTAATATGTTTTAGGCGAGATCAATTCACTTAACAAAGTCTTTATAAGATTAATATTCCCACTTTAAGTAATTTTAAACTCTCTCAAACTCTCTCTCTCTCTCTCTCTCTCTCTCTCTCTCTCTCTCTCAGGGAGAGAAAAAAACCTATAAACCACGTAAACATGTTCAGATGAAATAATGACGCAGTTAAAAAGAGGCAACCATTTGTACTTGACAGGAAATTGACACAACAAGGCCAGAAAAACAATTGACTCCTTACTAAGAGTACTCTAACACATATATGACAGTCTGTCAGCTAGTCTTGTTAACATTCATTTCAATTTATGCTTCTTCAGAGGTCAGTCCCATGTGCATGACATCGGGTAATATAAATTTGTTGAAGACTTTGCATGTGTTACTTTAGATTACCTTTCCTAAACTTGTAAAGATGATGCTGCAAAGTAAGTAAACAAGAGCCCATAGGTCACAGTAATCTAAATCTGACATTGGCCCTGCTGTTCTTCAACACAGGATAAACAAAATATACCTTGACTCAAATGAAAAAATTCTTTATCCGTATTTTGGTCCCATCTTAGCACCAAAGGGTCATGACATAACCTAACATGAATCAATACAACCGTGGGATTCCTCAATATTATTATGACTTACATGTCCTTAACTGCTGTTCTGCTGATCGAAGAAGTAAACATGTACTAGGTGAAAACTGCTTCCTTATTTTAGCTTTATACGGTAACCTCAGGATCTATTATTTGAAGAAAAAAATCGAATCTACACAACTTTGGAATTTTTTCATATAAATTAAATTTAGTATTGCCCTGCTATTTTTAATAAAAATATTTTCAATTTACCTATTAAAATTTTAATCCCCTTTTTTGGCCCCATCTTATCCCCGGGGGCCATGATTTAAACAATCTTGAATCTGCACTGCATGTGAATGGTTGCATCCAATCATGGCCCTATTGTTCTTGAAAAGATTTCAAACATTTTCCCTTATGTTCCAATGAAATTAAACTTCGATCTCCTATATGTGGCCCCACCATACCGCAGGGGGTCATGATTTGAACAAACATGAATATGCACTACCTGAGGATGATTGCATCTTAATAACTATTAATTATGCCTTCTTGATCTTCCGAAGAATTTAAAATATAATTCCCCATATTTTCACACGTAGAACTTTTGGTAATAAATAATGACTCTACGGTAAAAAAAATCAAAATGTGGAAATGTTTCGTATGGCATAATGTTTTAGTCCTTACATAAACGTGTCTTTGAGCTTTTGTTTTTATTTCCAGCAAATAATTATCTGTTTCCAATTTTTGCACTTCCTTAGTTTGATGAAAATTAAGAAATAATAAGCTTATTGATATTAAACAAGGATATTTATTATGATGTTAACAATGTGGCTAAGATGGAGGTCTACGCATGTAATAATGTACTTCCTAACAACATTTATCTATTTAAGAGCCTCTTGAGGCACTTTTAGCTCACCTAAGCTGATAGCTCAAGTGAGCTTTCCTGATAACATTTTGTCTGTAGTCCGTCTGTCCGTCTGTCTGTCTGTCTGTCTAGCTTTCTGTCTGTCTGTCTGTCCGTCGTAATCTTTTCTCATTTTCGACTTCTCAATAACCACTGGGCCAATTTCCAACCAAACTTGCCACAAAGTATCCTTGGGTGAAGGGGATTCGAATCTTTTAAAATGAAGGGCCACAACCTCATTCAAGGGGAGATAATTTAGAAATAGTGATAATTTGGTTGCATTATTTAAAACTCTTCTTCTCAAGAACCACAGGGCCAAAAAGCTGAAACTTTTAAGAAATCATCTTTACATAGTGTAGATTCAAATTTGTTCAAATGATGATGCCTGGGGGTAGGGTGGGCCACAATGGGGGATCAAAATTTTACATAGGAATATATAGGAAAAAAATCTTTAAAAATCTTTTTCTCAAGAACAGCAAAGCCATGATTAATCATATTTATATGGAAGCATCTTCAGGTAGTGTAGATTCAAATTTTTTCTAATCATGACCCCAGGGTGTAGGGTAGGGTCACAATGGGGGATCAAAATTTTACATAGGAATATATAGGAAAAAATCTTTAAAAATCTTTTTCTCAAGAACAGCAAAGCCATGATTAGTCATATTGGTATGGAAGCATCCTCAGGTAGGGTAGATCAAAATTTATTTAAATCATGACCCCCGGGGATAGGGTGGGGCCACAATAGGGGATCAAAATTTTACATAGGAATATATAAGAATTTTTTTTTTAAATCTTCTTCTCAAAGCCATGACTAGTCATACCGGGTATTGATATAGAAGCATTCTCAGGTAGTGTAGATTCAAATTTGTTCTAATCATGACCCCCGGGTGTAGGGTAGGGTCACAATGGTTGATCAAAATTTAACATAGGAATATAGAGGAAAAAATCTTAAAAAATCATCGTCTCAAGAACAGCAAAGCCATAAATAGTCATATTGATATGGAAGCATCCTCGGGTAGTGTAGATTCAACTTTGTTCAAAACATAACCCCCGGGGGTAGGGTGGGGTCACAATGGGGGGTCAAAGTTTCACATAGAAATATATAGAAAAAAGTCTTCTTCTCAAGAACAAAACCATGTTAAGTAATATTGATATTTATATTGAAGCATTTTCAGGTATGTAAATTCAAGTTTGTTCAAATCATGACCACTGGGGGTAGGCCGGTAGGGTGGGACCACAATGGGGGATCAAAGTTTACATAGGAATATAAAGGAAAAAAACTTGAAAAATCAGCAAAGCCATGATTAGTCACATTGATATGGAAGCATTCTCAGGTAGTGTAGATTCAATTTTCTTCAAATGATGACCCCCCAGGGTTAGGGTGGGGCCAGAATGGAGGGATCAAAGTTCCGCATAGGAATATATTGGCAAAAATATTCTTCTGAAGAACAGAAAAGCCATGTTTAGTCATATTGATATGGAAGGTACTGTAGATTCAAGTTTGTTCAAATGATGACCCCTGGGGTAGGGAGGGGCCACAATGGGGAATTAAATTTTACAAAGGAATATACATGTATAGGAAAAAATCTTCTTCTCAAGAATAGAAAAGACATGTTTAGTCATATTGATATAGAAGCATCCTAAGGTAGTGTAGATTCAAATTTGTTCAAATCATGACCTCCGGGGATAGAGAGAGGCACAATGGGAGATCAAATTTTTTTAAGGAATATATAGGAAAAAATCTTTAAAAAAATCTGCTGCTCAAGAACAGCAAAGCCATTTTTTATATTGGTGTGGAAGCATCCTCAGTTTAAAATTCAAGTCCCCCCTGTAAACTGTTCAATACTGAACTGACATGTGCGTTTTCCTAGCTAATGTGCTCAGGTGAGCAATGTGGCCCATGGGCCTCTTGTTTTATGAATATTTGCAGACGCTATATTTGATTTTGCCTTGGGTTTCTGGTACTTGAATCACAATTAAAATAAATCATCTCATTTTTCACATGTTTTGAAAGACTATATTTTCAGTAAACTTTGCAATGCTACACATTGATATATATGATATACATGTATATTGATATATATTTCATACCCTTGCTTAGAGGACATTGTCATGGTTACAAACACAATCTTAAGCGTTTTTGAGATGACTTTTAGAGACCTTTTGATGAGTATGGATTTGAACAAAAGTGTACAGTATAACTTATTCTTACTTGACTTTTCTTTTTTATACTATACTCCTACACATCAATTTTAACGGAGTATTGCAGAGAAAATGGTTTTCATTTAACAAAAATTATCTAAAAATAATAATAATGTGATATGGTGAAATTGTTATAATGTACTTTATATTTAAAAATTATATATTTGGCATAATAATTTTTGGTAAGATAATATTTCCCGTGGTTGGTTTTGAACCGTGGTCTTTTAGATATCGAGGCGAGCTGCCTATCCACTGGACCATGGAGTAATGCAAACAATGTATCGTAAATTATTTAAATAACCGTAATATCATTATATTCTTAGATCAGTACTACTTCATGTTAAAATTATTTTCTGGGTTTCTGTAAGTTCTTTATTTAATATATACATCTAAAAATAAGAATAATATAAAGTAATAGTGTTTCTTTAAAATAATAATTTTATTCCTTTGTTTGAATTGTCGGTTGTTCATAACAAGACACGCCATATTGAGATTCAAAAGCCTTGTGAAATTGAAGTCCATAAAAGTTAAAATAAACTCTAGTTAATCGCCATAGAAGTTATTAAAGTATGTAAGTATTTATCTATTAAGTATCCTGTAAAATTTATGTGTAATTTACAGCATATGAAGAGTTTATTTTGGAATTCTTAAATGAGTTGATTGTTTAGGTTTTCATATGAGATTTATTGTTTACGAAAGAAGCTAATGATCAAATTAATTAATTCTGTTAAATAATTATCATATCTTATATCATGAAATAGTAAAAAATATTGTGGTCTTGTTAAACCGGTGAACTAGTTTTTATAATTCAAGGTATGCTATTGTTACAATTAGTTTGAGAGTTTAAAATATATTGATCAATGATACAGAATACGTATTTAAGGTCTGTTATATTATCATATTATGTTAACAACAATGATGTGACAGATCACGCATGGATCTTTGATTTTTCCCTTTCTTAGGGTATGTTTTATCCATGATAAAGATCATGCATATTGCTATATATTATAAAATTTTGCCATAATAAC